TTGTACAAAAATTTAATTTTGATTTCTTTTATGAGACATTATTTTGTAATAGAAACATAATTTTATTAAATATCTTAATAATTTATTAACTTTATTATTAAAAATGGCTGGAAGAAAACATTTAATTTGTTGAAGCTAATGTAATCTTTTTATAACTTTCCGTTATAATTTTATTTTATGACAAAGAAAATCTTAAGAACATTTTTTTATCCAATTTTCATGCCTTAAATATTAAATCAATTTTTATGCATTTTTAACTATAAAAATGTATGACTATTATTTTATAATTTTGGTAATTTAATAGATATATAAGATTAACCTAAAATAAATTAGGTTTAAAACAATTTTTAAAATAAAAAGGTTTACCAGAAACTGAAGTTGTTATTAATACAAGAACTAGATATTGCACATTACATAGTTTAAAATAAATTATTCTCCATTAATAAATTGGTGTTCCTATATATTTTGTTGATCAATTAAATTGAAAATCCTTAAACCACAAAATATAATGATAATTATATTTTCCAAAAAGAACTGACATGCAAAATGAACCATTGGCATACATATTTAGTTATTCTAACACACTTCTGCAATTTGTTAAGGTTATATAATATGAGTACCTGAAACCAATTATTTTTTCAGAAATTATTGACTTCAGGGTGTCAAAACTTCCCTCGAAAATCCTTGTGAATTAGGAATTATCATTTGACAAACATTTTAAAGTATCACAACAATATGGATTGGTTATGTATAAAAAAGGGAAAATAAGATTCATATGTAAGAAATAGGTAATTTTAATTTGATCACAATTTTAGAATTAAAATTATATTCTTCCCTGTGGCGGCTCGTGAATTTTTAATGATGTAGAGCACATCCGGTAAAATTATAAAAAATATTATATATACAACGTTAAAAGTTTTTTGTTTTTTGTTTTTTTTACGTCGGTGGTCGATGGTAAATAGACATACGATTGTTGTTTTGAATTTAAGATAATGACTAACATTATTAGTCGATAATCAGAATATAATAAACAAATGAGATTAAAAATAAATTATAATGCTGATACCGACGCGGCGACGTCGAAAATAATTCGCTGAAAACATTTTAATTGGTTATGTGCACAGAAATAAATGTGCACATCAATTCCATTATAACGCGTATTGTTTTTTTTAACTTGTTTTAGTTTTTACATTGTACAAATGTGCACAGCAATAATGTGCACTACTGCACCGCTATAACACACACACACACACACACCCCGATACTGTTCTGTCGCGGACAACCGCCTGCTCGTGTGGCCTTTGGAATAACCCAATCTAAATATTATATTATTTTCATTCTATTCTGAATTTAAATTTTGAAAAATAATCTTAATAATACTACAGGTATTTAGTTGTATTATTATGGTTTATGTTTTAAATTTTTTTTGGAGTTTGGGTAGGTGCACGAGCACACGAGCCGCCACTGATCCTTTCGTAAAAATGAATTAGCAGATAAAATAATTTTTTAAGATTCCATAATAATAATTTAATTCCATAATCTGAAAATTATAAAATTGGAAATAATTTGAATAAAATTAAAAATTTTAAATAATTTTGAAATTCTTGGGCCATTTGGAAAGGCTACGTGAAGTTAGCCCACCCTTCTGTTTTTTAAATATAATTCGCAAACGGCTTACTCGCAAATTTTGTAAATGAACTCGCAAATTCTCGCAAATAAAGACGCATCGTTTGGTATCGGTTTTGAAGTTCTAGGGCGACTTGGAGGGGCTACGTGAAGTTGGCCTACCCTTCTGCTTTTTAAATATAATTCGCAAATGGCTTACTCGCAGATTTTGAAAATGAACTCGCAAATTCTCGCAAATATATACGCATTGTTTGGTATCAATTTTGAAATTCTAGGGCAACTTGGGTGGGCTAACTTCACGGTAGGAAAATGGAATTTGTAGTTAAGGGGTGAACTCGCAAATTTTGAAAATAGACTCGCAAATTCTCACAAATAAAGACGCATCGTTTGGTATCGGTTTTGAAGTTCTTGGGCGACTTGGAAGGGCTACGTGAAGTTTGTCCACCCTTCTGTTTTTTAATTATAACTCGCAAACGGCTTACTCGCAAATTCTCGCAAATAACTCGCAAAATATTGGTATAGGTTTCAAGTTAATCCGTGAAAAAGGGTGGGCCAACTTCACGTACGTAAGTGTGTTGACATGATAAGGGACCAGAAAATTCTACAAATGGGTAAAATCAAAGATCCAAAGACCCATGTCCCTTAACCAAAATAAAAGGTAGAAGTATAGGTATTAAAAGTAATTATATTGAAGTTTAATATAATTATTAATTAAAAATTAATTAATAATCAAACGATTGAGTTTTCTTGTTTTAGGATAGGAGAAAACTATTATTAATTATAATTATTTATAATCAACAGTACATAATTTTATTTCATTAAATATTTTCCATTTTAAAATTGAACATAGTTAATTAAATTAGAGTTCTGTTTTTATGGGGTATTTTTTCTCAGAATATTTTGATGAGGAATATTTAGATTTGACCGAGTTAATATAACCGGGAAATTTTGTCGTGGAACTGATAATGGAGTTCCAAGGACTCGAAATGGTGACATAACACGTAAGTACGGTCCCATTTTACATTTACCATGTAGTTAAGTTTAATTTAAGTATATTAACTTAAAACTTAGTACTTTGTTTAAATGTGAACTATAAGCGGTAGGTATGAAGCAAAAATATAAAACCAATACACTCACATTTGTCTGAGCATACGTAGTGTACAATTTTCATTACTACAAGAATTCATTCACACGATGTATAACCGAATTAATCACTATTAAGAATGTAAGCTCTGATCTTGAATTGTAACAAGCACTAAAAAAAAATCACCCACTTACGATAATCGAACAATAACCCTAATGGCGGTGTAAAATATTTAGGTCTTTACAAACACGGCTTTTAATGATAATTGCAGACGATGATACTTATAACGAAACACACGCGTCGGTAGGACGAATAACAATAATAATATATTACGAATGTATATTGTTGATAAAATGTATATTAACAAAACAAATGTATAGATGACGTGAACAGCTTATGGGTATTGAAATGAAGATGAAGTGATCGTAGTATTTGTACGTCTTGTATGGTTTGTACGCTGACGCGGGCTTGTTGGCGGGTGCATAAGATGGAGAGCCTTCCTTCTTGACTTCGGCGTTGAAACCGTAATCGTCGGCGGTGTACTCGACGATCCTCTTGGTGCCGTCAGCCTCGACCAGGCTGTAGTATCCTTTCACCGTCTTGCCGTCGCTGTACTCGGCTTGGCTCTTCACGTCGTACGTGCTCGGGTCGTTCACGAAATACTCGAAGCTGTACGGGATCGGCGGGTAAGTGAGCTCGGGCGCGTAAGCCTTGGGCGCAGGGTAGGCCGCGGGACTGTAAGCAGGTACAGCGTACTGGGCCACAGCAACGGCTGCGTAAGTGGCGAGGATGATCAGCTGAAACAAAATACGACCGATACGATCAAGAGACGCAGCTGCGCGCGTGGCTAAAATATGTTTTCGATCACATCTGCGTTGCAGATCTGCCAAAGTGTCCAAAGATATTATGGTCCTGTAGAGACCCTGTTCACTGTTTGACAGAGATTATCCAACTGGATGATCGAAGTTATTAACAAGTCCAAATACAGTAGAGCCTCGATAATCCGGACGAATTCAGACCGAGCATCGTCCGGATTACCGATTTTTCCGGATTACCGGAGGTTTCTCAAGATTACCTACTCAAATGACTAAGATTTTATTTTTAATTTCACCATCTTTATATTTATTGCATTTTAAATTATAAGAATAATAAACAACTTAAATTAAAACTAAACTAATGAATTACAAAAAAAAAAAATGTTTAAAATATGTAGAATTTAAGTATAATAATCGGTAATTTTTTTCTGAATAGTACTTTTAATTTTCATTTCAAAAGCGAGTTCTCTTAATCGACGTACCAACAAAATATCAGTGCTATCCATGTTCTCATCTTCCGCCCATTGCAATACAGTATTCAGTGCATTCACAGCTTCTGAAGGAGAAACTTTACTTGTACTAATTGAGCCACTTTCGTCCTCGTCGTCAATATCATCCTCTTTTGCTGCAATTTGTAGAATTTGATCATCAGTTAAGATTTCATGATTCGCTAAATCTTCGTCTGCGCCACGGCAAGCCCATTCCTGTGCTTGAGAATCAGACATTTTATTCGTACATGTTTTCTGTATCTGGTTTATAAGTGTAGAAATTTGAATGTCATTAATTTCAACAACTTCGTCGATTTTATTTTCTGTTTGGAAAGGAAGCAAGTGTTTCCACGATTTCTTTATGAGCATTGGCGGGACCAATTTCCAACAATTTACAAGACTAAAAACTGCGTCTTTTAAATTTATGGCCTTTAGAGCATCAATAAGGTTTTCACCATGCACCGGATCAGCAAGAACATTGACTAAGAGAGACTTACGATAGTTTAATTTAATATTCTGAATTACATTTTGATCCATCGGTTGAATAAGCGCTGTAGTATTAGGGGGTAAAAACATTGCAAAAATGTTGCCATCATCACTACGTAATTCTTCTGCTGATGGATGTCCAGGGCAATTATCCAACAATAATAAAGCTTTTGGAGGTAAATTTACATTTAAAAGGTGCTCACAAACTACAGGAACAAATTGTTTTTGAAACCAGTCTAAAAATAAAACACGAGTGGCCCAAGCATTTTTTTGTCCACGATAGTATACGGGAAGGTTAACTGATTTAAACGCACGTGGTTTTTGTGCAGTCCCAATGACGAGTAAAGGCAATTTATGTGTTCCACTTGCATTAGCACAAGGCATGAATATTATTCTAGCTTTAATCATTTTTCTTCCAGGGGCGTTTTTCTCATGACTTGATGTCAATGTATGCTCTGGTAACATTCGCCAGAATAAACCGGATTCATCAGCGTTATAAATTTATTCTAGGTCCAAATTGTTTTCATTTATGACTCGCTGCAACTCATTTCGAAATGGTTCGATTGATGCTTCGTCACATGAAAGTTTCTCACCCGTTATTTTAAGGCGCCTAATACCATGACGATGTTTAAAATTGTCTAGCCAACCTCTACTAGCAGTGAAGCCATCTTCCTGCTTTGTTATTTCACGGTGAAATAAACGTGCTTTTTCGCAAATTATTTCACCACTTATCGGAATATGTCGTCTCCGCTGTTGCATAAACCATATAAATAAAGCATTTTCGAGAACAAGATTTTCCGGTTCTTTTAAAGTTTTACGTGTGCCTGGACCACGTTCAGTTGTGCTGACAAACTTCATAATTTTTTCTTTATTTTTTTTTATGTCACCAACAGTCGATTTACCTATTCCGTACTTCTCAGCAATCATACCATAGTTCTGGCCATTTTCCATTAGTTTAATTATTTCAATTTTTTGATCTAAAGTTAAAGTTACGTGTTTACGAGGAGCCATTGTACAAACAAGAATAATAACCACTCGACAAGAAAGAAGTAAACGAACTGACCATCGGGCATCGATTTATTACCTACATATGTACATATTAGTCTTTACTAGGAACAGTAGGTAAAAAAAATGACGAAATTGTATTTGTCGATAACAATATCTTATGCATAGATTAATTGGGTTCCGGGAATTCTCGTAAAATCTATTTACGAACAAACGGAATTTTGCCGTCCGGATTACCGCGTTCACCGGATTATCGGGGGTCCGGACTATCGAGGCTCTACTGTATAATGATGATTTTTTGGTCTTACTTTTGCGGTCATTTTAGACTGTTTGATGCGTTCAGTGCTAGTTGATTGCATCAATTAAATCGATAACAAATACTGGTGTCTTGTCTGCACACTGTCGCACTATTTATATCAAATATCACACATCTTGTATCCCTTCCAAATATAGCTAGGTCCCCTAAGTGTATATTTTTATTTTCTCGAAACCGGTTGATTGAAGTGGTACACACGATATCATTGCATATTTGTGCGTGGAAAGTATAAAAGTTTCAATGAATGTATTTAAAGTCTACGCTGCATTATTAAATATTTGTTCGCACGATACCGTATATGAGGAACTCGATGTAATATGAACTTATATGGTTTTTCGAATAATGAAAACTATTTATTACGAATTATCAGTTATTTTTTTCGATAAATAAAATGTTACCTTTTTTATTATTTAGTTTATTATGACTCTTTATGTTAAAAAAATATAATCACCTAATTATTTTATAATGAAAAAAAATAAATAAATAGAAAATAAATCATTTTAATTATAACTATGTTATTTATAATATTATTTTTCATCAATGAAATGCATAATTTATTCATACTATAACAAATATGAAAATTAAATTTTTTCATTTTTAAAAATTGTTTTATATTGGTAACGGAATACTTGTAAAAAAATTTAAAAAATCGAAAATATTAAAACGTAGATTTATTTTTTAAAAAAACAATGAAATATTTATTTACGAGTGTTTTATTAAAATAAAACCCTTATCTTATGAACATAAGGTTCTTACATTGTTTTTTTCGTTCTTATTTAATTTCAAAACTATTTACTAATTATATATTATTGAGAGCGATAAAGCTATAACCTATATATATTGAGTTTCATGTCAATAAGTTAAAACTCGATAATCGTGCTCGTTGATGTAAAAAACGTAATATATTTTGTAACATTTATTTTATTAAAAATTTACATCATTTTATACAGTGCTATTTGTTTAACATTTAAAGTTTGAATTTCAGAAATAACAGACATATTAATAAATATTTATTCTCAATCATTTGTATCAAAAAACTCAGGACAGCATATGACGCAACATTAGTTGAAAACAAATCACAATAACTTAAACATAGATGGTCATTATTTTCAATAAGTTCATCTGGAAACTGAATAACAAAGCAATATACAACTTTCATCCCTTATGTGTATTAGGTAATAAGTTTTGAATAACTGAATAACAAGTAGTCAATTGAGAGTGTATTCAAATTGAGGTAACCAGAATATATCAATTAAAACGATACGATTTCTATAAAGAAGTTTTTAAGTAATTACAAAATAAATTTTATTTTTCGGGAAAAGTCATCCTTCAAATTGTTTATACATATATAGTTTATAATAAATTATATTATTTTTAACAAATTGTATAAATTATTAATATAATTTAGATTATTATTTTTTTATTATAATCTAAATTTTTTAAACATCTAATGTGTAAATAAAAAAAGTGTATTACAAAAGACAATTATTATTTAATATTTCTAAATTGACAACTGTTTTATCATTGTAAAAGTAAAATTATAAAGTTACAAAATTAATATGACCAAAATAATCAAATTTAAATATCAAGTTCGTTATCAAATTTGTTATAATGTAACATTAGAGGTCTGAACATAAAGCTATCTAATATATATTTTAAATATTGAAGTAGAACTTATATTAACCTCAATGATAAACTTGGCTATAATATGTGAAAATGTCATGGCCTAAATATTTTATAGCTCATGAATACAACCATTTATACTCAGTATAAGAATCCAGAAAAGTTAAAATAAAAATAAATAAATAATAACTGCATAATATTCAGTAATACAAATTTATATTATATATATATTTACGAAATAAATACATAAATATTTATGGTATCCATTGACATTTAGATATGCCAATACAAATACTTTGAAACCAAGGCTCAATATGAACAAAATGGCTCAAAAGTATCCGAAAAAAGGAAGAAAGATGTCGAAGAGGAATTATG